TATCGAACGGTGGACACTCAGACTCCAGCCGTACGAGATCGAGCTGAAGTATCGAAGCGGAAAGGACAATCCAGCAGATTACCTGTCAAGACACGCACCTAGCGTCACTGAGTGCTCTAGGAGAGAGGAGAGGGTTATGGAGGAGTACATCAACCACATCGCTGCTACTTCTGCACCCAAAGCAATGACCCTGACTGAACTCCACAACTGCACCGAACGCGATGCGACCCTGCAAGCTGTCATTCACGCCATCCGTTTTGGCAAATGGGAGATCGCGAGACAACGACCCGGTGTTAACACGGCATCATTCGATCGAATTCACAAAGTTCGAGGGGAACTGTCCGTGACCGAATCCGGCAACTTGATTCTACGTGGCACACGGATTGTTGTACCACATGAACTGCAACAACGCGCTGTCGAGCTGGCACACGTTGGTCATCAAGGCATGGTCAAGACGAAGGCGCTCATACGTGAGAAAGTGTGGTTCAGCGGGATAGACCATCGAGTAGAGGAAATGATTCGTAGTTGCATGGCGTGCCAGGTAGCGACGCCCACCCAAACACGGGAACCCCTAAAAATGTCAGCACTGCCTGAACGTCCATGGTCAGAGATCAGCACTGATTTTGGACAGGTACCTGGCATGGGTACGCACTTTATGGTAATCTCCGACGACTTCTCACGCTACGTCGTCGTGGAACCAGTGTCCTCTCTCACAGCAAGTGCTGTCATCCCTGTCCTTGACAAGATCATTGGAGAATTCGGTGTACCCGATGTGGTCAAGTCGGACAACGGACCCCCCTTCAACAGCAGCGCATTCTCTGACTACGCACGGCACAAAGGGTTCAAGCATCGTAAGATTACTCCGCTGTGGCCGCTCGCAAATGCCGAGGCAGAACGCTTTATGAGGACAGTAAAGAAGTCCATTAAGGCTGCCATAGCGGAAGGGAAAAGCTGGAACCAGGAGCTGCACAGCTTCCTGCTCAACTATCGAGCAACCCCTCACAGCAGCACTGGCATACCTCCAGCTACGCTGATGTTCGGGAGGGCCATCAAAACAACCCTACCCCGGATCGCGTACGAGCAACCGCAGCACGACGTTCGCCAGAAGGACAGCGAGTCCAAAGCAAGGAGAAAGGTGTATGCGGATAGAAAGGCATACGTCAGAGAGTCTGGTATAAAAATTGGTGAACCGGTGCTCATGAAGAGAGAGGGAATGAGGAAGTCTGACCCCCCGTTTTGTCCGAAACCCCTCGTTGTGACGAAGAGAAACGGATCGATGGTGACAGCAGAATGTCTTGGAAAGACAGTAACCAGAAACTCGTCCCGATTCAAACACTCCCCCACACGTCCAGAAAACGTCCCGACGTCGTCTGATGAGGAGGAGGATGAGCTGGGACTGCACCAATACCCCGGACCAGACGATCCGCCGCCGGACACTGTGGTCCAGCACGCTCCAAGGCTACCTGAGGTGCAAGGCAGACCGCAGCGAGAGCGTCGGCTTCCGGAGAGATTTAAGGACTTCGTCATGGCCTAGACATTCCGTTTAAGTTGGGGAGGACTGTGATGTCCAGCCCTAGTGTTTACGTTTTGTATCGATGCTGACTCTATGTGTGCAATGTGACGCATGCGCGAGCGGACATCCGGTAATGAGAAATAAGGGAGCAGCGGGAATGATTGTACAGAAAAACGAGGTGTTATAATATTCGGAGTTCAATTATGGTTTGATATCATCGATCAACAAACAATAAGAACATTACAGCAGTGACCTGATGGCAACTGGCAAAACCTTCTTTCTACATTTATATGGCCAGAAGAAAGGCACGTCAATGAATGCTTCCAAGTACGAGATTTATCGCAAGCAAAAGAATCCTCCATCCGTGAAGTCCCTTCCACCAACAGACATCAACCTGAGACTCCCTATCCGGAGAGCACATCTCCAAATGATGCTATGGAAGGCTGCAGACAAGGCTGGCCCTCCTGCTGTCCAAATCACTAACTATAGATGGGAAGTTACTGTAAACGATGAAATGGTACCAGTGCTGTCAAGAGAACCTACCGCACCAAAAAACCTCATGGACGTCATTAGCTGCAGCTGCCGAGCAGAGGGAAATGCCTGCAGCAGGAAGTGTGGTTGTGCAGCAAATGGATTGTCATGTACCAGCTACTATGTGTGTGGAAGAGGAAATGAGTGTTGTAACTCACTGACACAACGAGATGATGCTGAAGAAGGATATAAAGAGCAGAAGGAAGGAGAAGAGGATCTAGAGACTGGAGAGAATGATCACAACCATGAAGAAGAAGGCGAATAGTAAGTAGTTTGATGGTGTTGGTTGTTCATCTATGTATTCCATGATCTAGCTGCATCATAATATTTAACATTTTCATATATAATAATAACTTACTGTTAAATATAGAAGTTCTATAGACGATGGAATCCTTGGTGTTAAGAACATGGGTCTAAACATCAAAACAAAGTCTGTATCTTCCAACAGTTGGTCAGTTATGGTGATTTTACGGTTGACCTCATTATTCATGGCAGCCATATTGGATTTCTGGCAGTCGGAAGGATATGGTAGAGGTTTGAATCCATGCCAGATCAATTGCTTAGTGTCGAAAACATGGGTCTAGACACACGAAAGAAGTCTCTATGTGGATTACTAAGGAAGATATTCTTGATTTAGTGATTTGACCTAATTAATACGCTAATTAGGCCGATTATGCAAAATGCTACACATATGCAAATTAGCATCCGGCAGTTTGTGAGTCCTTATGACCTGTATATTGCATTTCCAACATAAAACCTTATAGTACTCGACATTTCTAGGTTCACTAGGCTGGCTAGTAGACTATAAGCGCAGTATAACAGTATTATTTATTTATGTATACAGTGAGTATTTTTAATTAATTTCTGTTCGATGCTTATTCAGGCCTGCTGCCTATGGGCGCCCTCTACTGTTGTTCACCACCTTGAGGGCCGCGGCTCTGCGTGTGCATGCGTGCATGTATGCGTATGCGAGCTGCTCCGGCTAGCATAATGGCCGTAATTAGCAGCGTCCGCGCTAAAAAAAAAAAAAGCATCAGCGTGCATGAGGAGCGCACTCGCTGTCTGCAGGTTATTAAACGATCATGGATAGAAAGCAGTCCTGCCGGACACAACACCCAACTCACGCGTGCTGCATTGTTCGCTAGCAGGGATGCGATGCGTTAGTGACATAAATACCGTATGCGGTGTTTGGTGAAGGCAGAACTAAGGCTCGCGCAGCGATCACGGTGCTGCAAATCACAGGCACTTCGAACGTTGCAATCATAAAATGATGGTAAATAAACACAAAATGTATTTACTACCAAAGTCACTACTTTCTTTTCGCCTATTATTAGTAATAACTTCCTGTAAATTCCGTTCAAATGCTCCTCTGCAACACACAAGTAGACCGCATGCACGCCGCTGTGCAAAAAAAAACATAGAGCACAACACCAAACAAAACTCGCAACTGCACAAAAAAACGAACAAAACTCGCAACTGCACAAAAAACGAACAACACTATAATATTGCTGTTTGTGCACAGCGGCATTCGTGCGGTGAACTTAATTATGCGTTGGAGAGGAGCATTTGAACGGCATTTACAGAATGTTATTACTAATAATAGGTGAAAGAAAGTAGTGACTTTGGTGGTAAATACATTTCGTGTTTATTTACCATCATTTTGTTATTAAAACGTTCCAAGCGCCTGTGGTGCAAATCGCTGTCAGTTCTCGCCGGCACGTGCCACGGTAATACATTTGTTATCTACAGGCGTGTATATATATCAGGAGTTAATGAAGACAAACATTTTCTCTTCATTAACTCCTGATGTAGCGCCACATCTGTAATTGTGCTGCGGATGAATTAAACTCAGCAAACGGCATTGCCTGCATTTAAAGGTGGGCGTTTCCCGGGGCGTTTCCGCCTGTTTGCATCTCTGCATCTGCGGTCGCGATATGCCAGGCTCAGCCATGAAGATATAATGCCACGAAGATTGCCTTTTTATACATGTATGCCTTTTTATACAAAGAAACGTCCATGCTAGCGCCAACGGTAAGTGCGTGCTCATGATCAACGCGTTTATATCGTTACGTGAATGCTACTGGATCAAGCAACACTCACCACTTGGAGAAATACGGTAGCTAATTCAAAAATAATATGCTCCCGATGGTTTCAAGAATGTCATGAGGTAAAAGAAACGTGTGTTGTCTGTCTACTGGTGTTCTGAAGGCACACGCACACACACATAGACACGTACACACACACGCAGGCACACACGCGCGCACACACACACACACACACACACACACACACACACACACACACACACACAC